ATTTAACCATTTATTTCAATATATACACTTACAATACATAACAGTAAAATAAACAACAAAATGGCTTATTTTATAATTTATATGTTTTTGAAAATGAGTAAAGAACAACAGAGCTTGTAAGTTACAATACCAATGAGGGATGACAGTGCATTATGTTGTATTGGTTTTCCAGGTTATTGTTTAACAAGAAACTCCTTCTCATATCGATTGCTCAACAAATAAAATCTTTATCCACCACTATCATGGTCTTCGTTTTATCACTTTAACTAAATCGATATGTCTCGATGTAAATGGCATCCCCACTATGATTAATTCCTGTAAACACAATGCATATCTATAAACTTACCCAAAACAATCCCAATAATTATAGCAACTTTCATTGCTCACTAAAATGCAATTGTTTGTAGCTACCCTTCACAATTACTTTCTCTTCTTTGCATAAAGTAGTTTTCATCTTTATTTTGTATTTTCATCAAAGAGTACATTCACTAAAAGAGTCTTATGTATACAAACAATTTATATACAATATTCCAAGTAAAGGTTGTTCCAGCCTGGAAGTATACAACATGGTCGTCAGGGCCTTTAGAGTTTGCATTTGCATCTATTTTTTTATTACAGTCTGAGGCTCTGGCTGGATATCTCATCATGATTGTAGAAAGTCAATGCTCCCTACTTCTACTTTGACCACCAAATAGACCCCCGACATGACATAATAATGCAATGACATAATAATTTGTTATTATCGTTGCTAAGTTAAACTACCAACTACGATTAGCAAGATGTGGGATTGTGTGTTGTGCCATGCTAATTTACCAAACACATATTAATCAGCACAAAGTACAATAACACATAATAGTTCAATGGATCTATGCTGATATTGGTGATAGGGGTTGAGCTCATCACAACCCAAACTTCCGATTAAAGAGGCATCGCATCCGACATTAATTTTAAGTCCTAAACTGAAGATTACAATTTGCTTATGTTCAGAGGCAAAGTGGATACCATCTAGCATCTTAGGAATGAGCTGGTCACAACTAAAAAGAAAACCCAGTCTTTGCACCACACATAAACTGTACACAATTCACCACTTGGGACAAGAAGCAAGCCTGCAATGATACTGTGGAGCAGGACTGAGTTTAAATAATGATTCCAAGTTCTCACGTAAGGTAAAATATAATTTCGGCACGAAATATTTGCCTGATTCCTCGGTAATACATGTTTCAAGACGCTAAAATAGTTGAGTAAAAAACATATTTTTTCAATTTTTCACAAATATTTAAATCCAAACTAGAAAAAATCCAATATTTTACCAGAGGTCCCAACACTATGTGTTTCTTGCCATTTAAGGTGATTCCAGCAACACATTATATTTATAAATATTTCAAACCAACTGGTACAAATCTCACATGATACAGACATTAATATGGATTGAAAATATTTTTGGAGTTGGACATTTATATAGAAATGTATAAATAAGCACGATTTTTTAAAAAGTGGCTTAAAATCTCCCCATGTTATTCTCATAGGTAAAACACCAAAAACACCTCTTTATCCTATTCTATCTATTTGCTTGAGATACAGTAAATAAACATATTTAGGCACACTACATTGATTTCAACTTTTGATATAAAACAATAATACAGGGTAAAAATTTAAAAATCTAAAACTTATATGAATAACATTTGGTAAATAAATTAAATGGTTCCATTTGTATGACAATGTATTATAACATAATATCAGTGTTGGTAATGGTTACAAACTCCATGCATTACTGGTGTGACTTTATCGTTTTAAAATGCTTATTTCTCAAAAACTGCTTGAGATACGACAAATGGTTAAATTTAGGTACACTATGTTAGTTCCAACTTTTAAACAACAAAAAACAATAATACAACATAAAAATCAAATACTATTTTAACATTATTTTAAATGAGTACAAATAAATCAAACAGTTATCATGAAAATGTTATAAGTCTATACTTAATTCCATTATTTTAAAAGTCCATTATTAAATATTCTAAATTTGTGATTTAATCACCAGACATCCCTATAACTCATAAGAATTATATTATTTTATATGAGTACAAATAAATCAAACCATTTTCATTTGTATGCCAATGCATTGTAATATAATAATAGCATTAGTAAATAAAGGTCTGATTTATTGTTTAAAAATACTTATATCTAAAAAAAAGGCTTGATATACAACAAAACAGCTAAAATTCCAGCAACCAAAATAGCCTTCAACATAATAATACAGCATAAAAAGTTAAACAATTTAAAACCATTTACCAGTTTCTTTTGTATGTAAATGTGTTATAATATAATTTCAACAATAGCAATAGTTTCAAACTCTAGGTATTACCAGCACGGCACTGTCGGGGGCATGACGATGTTCAAAGTGATGCGCCTTCTATCACTTACATGTTTGTCTAGCTTCTAAAAAAAATATTTATAGCATAAAATTTATATATTAAAATTCTACATAAACTACTGTTTAATACAATATAAATATAATTTAATTTATGCCACTGTATAATTATTAATTAAGGAAAATATAAAAAGGTTACTCAAAGCAAACATGAAAAAGTAAGTAAGCGAGGATTTTTTTTATTTTTCGGTCAGAGAAAAACTTTCAGTGGAAGAAGTATAGATGATTAGATGTTCCTCAATTTTTGTTTCTAACATTTTTTCATAAGACTTTTAGTTTGTCATCGCTGGGGATCAGAAGTAACCTATGGGTCGGGAGCGCATCCGAGTTCACGTGCCGAGAGCTGGGTTTTAAAAAAAGTGGTCAAAAAAAGCTCTTCATTTCCAGGCTTGTTTTTTCAGTATTAATAACATTTTTTAACCAAAAAATGCCCCCATATAGCCTCTAAAACGCCAAAAATAGGGTAAAACCACCATATTTTACCTATTTTGGGTGTTTTTTCACCAAAAAAATTCAAAAGTCCTAGGTCCAAAAACGCCGAAAGTGGGGTCATATTCTGGTATTATATCTACTCAGTGATGACCAAGATATTTAGTGTGGCCCATCATCTCACAGAAAGACTCATAGTTGTACAGTATATAGTTGTCATCGTTTACTTCAATGACCACCAATGAGTCAAATCCTTCCCAACGCCGCAGTTGATTAAAAAACTACATTTTGTAGGTGTTTTAATTTTTGTTATATTATGCCTATACATGGTCCTCTAATATTTTTGTTTTGTAAATATACGTAGGTCTATGTAAAACAAATTCAAACGGTATGTAGACTGCATTTTAAATTTTACATTATTACCTAAACCAATATAATAAAATCTTCAATATACATTTAAAGTCGATGTTAGTTGTTTTCTGGGCATTTTAGGTCAGGTTTACATTATCCATGATTTAATTTTGGTTATCTACGATGACTCAGCCACGCATTATCTATAATATCAAAACGAAACAGGGTTTTTTTATTTCACGATTCTGAATCAACCACTTGACCGATTTTCATGATTTTTGTGTTGAAAGAAAGATAATTTTGAGAACTAGGGAATGTCGAAGCCATAATTTTAATTTAGGGTTTCAGTTTTTTTAGAAATTAGGTTTCAATTTTTAAAAAGTCTAGCAGCCGACGCTAGCAATTCAAAGTATTTTCAGTGCTGGTTTAACTAACAGCTGGTTATAAACTGGCATTGAAATGTTTATGTTACAAGTTGTTTGTATACAAAAATATTGTTCTTTGGTGTTGGCCTGCATACTATTTCACTTTAAAATTTAGTTTTTTTTTTCTACCGTGAAGGATCTGCTTTATCAGGAAATGTGTTATTTTGATCTATACATCTCAAACAGTTTAATCAAGTTTTGTCGTAAATGCAAACTGTGTAAGTTATTTAGTTTATGCCATGGAAATTTCATCTCATATTTAGGAAATCTTTTTTCAGAAATTTATTGCTTAATCGTTTAAGATATAAGTGAGTCATACTATAATTTTGGTTAGTAATGAAAGCATCAATTGGTGTAGTAGGTTTCTATAAAACTGTCCAATGAGCTGCAAGGTGCAGTAGAAACCAAAGTCGACTCATACCATACCATAACTCTCCCCATAGTATTGAAAAGTGCAGACAAAATATACAGACCAGTTCAAGATAACGGAGGTTGAGATAAAAACAAACAGAGAGCAGAGAGCTAAGAGAAATGTGTAAACACCCAGATATAGGGGTGCTTTCCAGTAGTAAAAGGCTTGGATGGGCAGGCTATGCGTGGTGGATAGGAGATAAATCAACTTTAAAAAGTATATTCCATAGTACCACAAGATAAAAGACCACTTGGAAGACCAAGAATTAAGTGGAAAGACCAAGTTATGAAATACATCCTCAGACGGGGATCTAAATTAGAAAAGACAGGGGATGGAAGGGAAGAGAATGGGTGGCCAGAATCCTCATAGGGTGTCAGTCCGTGGTCACGGAGGTAAAGGTGCGGTAAGTACATATATAAGTGGTATATGCAATTGTAGCAACTCTACTCAATACCAGTGTGTGTGAATCGGTCTCCAATCTCACTTCAAGTCTTTTCAAATCGACGCAACTGCTATTTTATGGTAAAATTATCAAATTTAAAATGCATATCGCTATATTTTAGGTCTATTTAAGGATGGAAGAAATGAGTAGTCACGTGACATTTGTTAATAAGGTCAACAACTAAAAAATAACAATTAATTGTTAATTAGGATGTTTTGGGGCAGTTGGCCCCCATTAAAACTGCCAGAATTTGTCACTGTGCGTGTAAACTAGATGTTCTGAACTATTCCGTTTTACTTGAATACTCGATTCCCGTACGTAGGATGGGCCAACAGCTCGTTGTGAATAATAGGGAGTCTAATGTAGGTAAACAAGTCTTTGAATTTTTTGAACAACCAAATCCAAAAATATCTGTCAGCACAATGCACTATTTAAGCTACAGTCAAAATGATCCAATCCAAATCCTAGCCCAAATTGAATATTGAACTAATTTTCATGTTGAATACTTACTTGATGCTGATCATGATATGTTTGAGATTTGTCTGAATTTTTCAATCTTTCTCTCAAGTTTAAAATTTCTTCTTCTTTTATATCAAGTTTTCTTTTCAAATCTTCATTCTGAAATTAAAATTCTAGATTTAAAAAATTACTGTGTGAGAATAGTTTTGACTACTTTACTGTTGAGTAACTTTAAATTAGTGATGGTAGGTATTTAACTTTTCTTACTTTTATGATTGAAAATTAGTCAAGATTTCTGTTCTTCTTCTTCCATTATAGTACTGACATAGATAAAACATACTCCTTTAGTAGATTTCCGATCCTTATGGAACAGCTGAAGACAATTTTATTGTTAGTTCTGTACGGTTTATGTAGAGGTCGTGTTTTGTTTACAATTTGTTTCCCGTTATTACAGTAATTTAAAACCTCGTTTAACCAAATAATACGATCTAATCATAAACAATAACTTGTCCCCTATTTATATAACCAAACAGTAAAGCACAAATCAAGAAATTAACCCTAAAATAATATAAAAAAAGTTTCGTCGACACTAGCGCCCATGTGTCACAACATGAACTAGACACGAAAAACGTGCTTCAAAATTTACAATGGGATGAGAAGTCTACTTGTGTTGGTTAGTCTATGGTACTGAGTTCATCACTTTTTTAATGGCGTAAGCACCAGCACTAAGTTCTATTTTAAAATACTTTATGGCTAAGAAATAGTTTAGTTTGATTGTATTAAGATAATTATCAGGTTTCTCATTAGTTTCAAACCATTCACACAACATCAATGTACAGCTTCAATATTAGAGCATTGACAGACAATGAATGCATTATCAGTTCAGACCAATCATTGTTAGACAGAGCTGTCGAATATCTTGTCTGAACAGTCAGAAATATTTTTCGGAAAGATAACTCGGCTTTACCATAGATCAAGAGTTCAAACCCTTGGTAGTTCTAGCATAGACAAAAAGAATTAAATATAGAACGTCAGCCGTGTTGCGGTTACTATAAGTTTTGGCACACACCGCCGGGAGCGCCATGTAGTTACGGCGTATGCGCTATGTAATTAAAAGGCACTCCCAGCGGTGTGCGCCAGAACCTATGGTAACCATACTAACCGCAGCACAGCTGACAGTTTATATTTCATTCTTTTTGTCTATGGTTCTAGTAAATAGGTAATTTATGAGCAGATTAGCTGCTTTGAGTCTCCCGTCGAAATTAGCCATGGATGTCTTTGACAAACTCTTAAGAAGCTGGACATTATCTTAGGAATTTTGTTCTTTTCCCTACAAGATTGGGTGTTTTCCCACTAAAAAACAAAACTTTTCATAATATTTCAAAAGAATTGGTCATAAATCCATTTCCAAACTGAGGCACACAAATTTTTATGTTACTGCAACTTACTAAAGAAACTAGTGATCTTTGCTACACCATGTCAAAAGATAAAAGTTTATTTCAGAAAATAAATAAGCAGAAAATTAGCAAAAAAATTACTGTTGCAGATATCGCATCATACGTACCAATTTTGTAGAACCATTGGAAATCTGGGCCTCCAATTGCCTGATCTTGCTTGAAAGTGCTTGTATGTCTTCTTCTTTGGCATTGATCTTTTTCAAAACTTCATTGTTCTACATTAACACACATAAGTAAAATAATTGTACTCCCAATTAAACCAGATGTGTGAACAATTTGATTTTAATTTAATTTAATTCATCACCAGTTAATGATGGTTTTGTAAAAAAAAAACTTCATATTAACATCATATTACATTTTTTTGCCTAGTCTATCACGTACAGAAAAGAATCATTGGAGCCTGATTGGAATTGACCCTGTCACTGGTTCAAAAAATAGTTTCAGTCACATGTTTGTAACACAAACAAAATCAAATAACTTCATGATCAGCATCGTACATGTTATTAATTTACCTGAAAGCTCAAAAGATACGTCAAATAACACTTATAATAATATATTTTTTACACTTATACTGTTTACTCACAAGACCGTAAATACATATAGAAGAAGTGGTGACCAATTTTGATTGGACCCTTCAATCATCAGACCCAATAGGCGAATGACAAGAATCAAAAATGGCTTCCCTTACTAATGGCTACCGGAAGAATTGGTACTTCCGGTAGCCAATAGTATATAAGGGACGCCATTTTAGATTCTTGTCATTCACCTATTGGGTCTGATGATGATTGAAGTGTCCAATCAAAATTGATCACCACTAACCATCTTTTATATGTATTTACGATCTTGTGAGTAAACAGTTTAAGTGTAAATAATATATTATTATGAGTGTTTTTTGACATATCTTTTGTGCTTTCATATTTGTGCTTTGTATATTTGCAGTATCTAAAGTCAATGGTACGTCTGGTTCACATAAATTGTCTACTAGCAGTATCCATAGTTAATGGTACCTACATTTGGTTCACGTCAATGTAATGTCTACTTGCAGTATCAAAAGTCAATGTTTTGTTTGGTTCATATAAATGAAATGCATATTTTCAGTATCTAAAGCCAATGATATTTCTGGTTCAAGTAAATGCGATATCTACAGTAGGTACTTGCAGCAACTTAAGTCAATGGTATATTTGTTTCACATAAATGAAATGCCTATTCGCAGTACTCAAATTCAATGGTACATCTAGTTCACATAAATGGAAAGTCTACTTGCAGTATCCAAACTCAATGGTAGGCCTATATTTGGTTCACATAAATGGAGTAGCTATTTGGAGTATTTAAAGTCAATGGTGCATCAGCCTAATTCCGACGACCATTTTTATTGGTTATTAATGTTGTAGTAAATGATGCTCAATGATATTAATCCAATTGTTCTTCCTTTTTCTCTGTACAGTATTTGTAATGTGCTATTTTAGATGATTTGTTGACTAACATATGTTGCGACTCTTGTTTACCTTTTTATTGTTATCTCGCAAATAATGTCATGGCAACCAATTAACCCATAAGGCCCATGTTAAATTTCTAAAAGTTCAAATTCACGTAGGGAAATGCCATGTGGTCTGATTTGTACCATTTCAGATTCATACCTTCCCATGGTTGGTTACTATGACTGTGCTAAATTTCGTGCTAAATGACAACATCATGAACTCCCGCGGTCACGTAAACATCTTTGTCGTCGTCCACGATCGCGTAAACCAAACCGAAAATGAAATTAAATCTGTTAGTTTAAATTAAATATTTACTAATTTGAATCTAGGTTTGGGTACATAACATATTATAGTGGGAAAATGTGAGAAAGCCTGCGCAATTTGATATATTTCCATCACCATCGGTGTGAGTATCTCCATTAGTTACATAAGCTTTTAGTTGATTCTTTTAAACTCATTAAAAATTATGACTGTTGTCAGTTTTAAAATAACTCCTGTAATACCAGTACTTGACAATTGCTGGATTTTGAGCAACAGGTTAACTAGTTTTAGAAAATCTATAAAAATTTAATATTTTTACGATTAGCCCAGTAGCAACTTTCCTTTACGAGAATGACTATTACTATAGTATTCACGGTAAGATCCCGGTCCAGGACTTCTACACTGGGCTCAAAATACCTATCTAAATTATTAAACAAGGTAGGGCAGAAGAAGTAGGTGATTTCAGAAGGCAGTCCTGAAACGACAGCTGCTGTCACGAGGTTAGGGGTTGGGCCATCTTAAAGGGGGTTTAAATCACAATCAGTTCAGTTGCTATCATGCTAAGGAAGAAAAATTCAACGGACATTCACAGTTGAGGTGTACTCTCTTGCGCCCCTAGGCCCGGGCCCATTTATTAAATCAGCCCTATACAAAAGTGTCAATTGGTTGTTGATTCTTGGAAACTACCAATTAACTAACATAGCCTATTGAAAATAATAAACAGTACATGTATTACAGTCTGACAATTACAAGTATGTGATTATGTTTAACAATAAAATGAAAATAAGCAGTTACAAACCGTGTCAGGAACTTGGAGGACCAATTTATGTTGCAAATCTGCTATTTTTCCTCGAAGTACATTTATTTCATCTTCTTTTACTGCTAGTTTCTTCTCCCATTCTTGGTGCTGAACAAGACAAGACTTGTAGAAGAAAATTGTGACTTGTGGAAATGCGATGCCCATGTTTTACATATAACTTTGTTTATACATACTATATTATGTTTTTCTTGAAATTATAGATATGTTTTTAAAAAAACCTTAGTTATGACATTATTATGACTATTACTTATTTATTTATTCATTGACTATTATTTATTCATATATATATATATATATATATATATATATATATATATATATATATATATATATATATAGCCTAGTGCATATAAGATAAACTGAAACTGTGTTTTTTTAATTCATACTATTGGCAGCACTGACTCAACAACTCACTGGCCACCATTTTAGACATCTAGAAAACTCTCTCTTCCTTAGTTGAAAATGCTGTCAGTGACAGTGAAATATTCTAATGTTTTGTGTATATAGTGTAAAGTTTTGTTTTGTGTTTCCTGTGCCAGTTTGGACTCTTTCCCATTCAGGTAAGCCTGCTATCCTCTCAAAAAATCCTAAAAAATCTAGGCCCTTGTGTTCTATGCTACACCCTTATAGTCCAGGCAAATTAGATCAAATATAGGGTGTGCTGCCCAAAAAATCGTCTAAAGCTGGAAAGTGTTTTAATACCTTTTGGGGGTCCCAAATAAGACTCCTGTGAGTTTGCGACGGATTCTGACGTCTGCTTAAGTTTTGGGAGTCGAAAAACTATGAAAATTTTGCACTTTTTTCAGTTTTTCGCTTATAACTCCTAAATAACAAATTCTAAAGAAAATGTTGTTCAAAAGTGTCTTTTAGTGCATTAAATTCCGCGTCGATTGATGTTAAATACGTCAAAATCAAGCGAGCCGTTTAGCCGCTGTAGCTTTTCAAAGGTGGGATATTTTCATCAACATGGCCAAAAGGTTGATTATTTGACCAGTTTTCGGCTTAAAACTCCTAAACGACGCATGCTATACAAAAATGCACCTGTAGTTAGTTTGGAAAACACAAAATTCTGCGTATAATGTTTTTTTTATTAATCAATAACGGCAATTGATTGTTACCTACTTTGTATGGGCGCCATTTCATTGAAAAAAAGTATTAAAGTTCAAGTTGGGAGATTTTAATAAAATTGGTAACAACATAGATCCTGTCCTTAAATGGATTATGAATTATTAGATAGTGGTTTATTCCATGATGGTCATCTAGAGGTTTATCTAATAAGTTGTAAAGAGAATAAGACCCCCTATGTAATTTTAAGACTAATATTGTTGTCTGAGGTTCCGAAAATTCTAGGATTCATCCCAAACCACCCATTATATACGATCTATCCCTGTATTCATCTTTCAGTTTTTGGCTTACATCTTCTAACGCATGCTATAGAAAAAATGTTCCTGAAGTTAGTTTGAAGAGCATAATTGTCTGCATAGAATGTTTTCCAATTCATTAAGATCGGCTTCACCATTTAACCGCTATTGATTGTTAACACTAGATCAGATGCTTGTCAAGTTTAAAATCTTTCCATTGAAATCTGGCAAACAACCAGCCCAATTACCAAAAACATAGGGGATATGGCAGTGAATCTACCCACTAGTGTGACGTCATGGATCATACAGCATGGCCTATGAACAAGTAAGTGCTCATGAGAGCAACATCTTACTGTGGAGAGCTTCTTCCGAGATAGGGGAATCAATGATGTGGATCTAGCCCGATGGTTCGCTGGCAGGCCCATCGCAGTGAATGCTACCCATCAAGTTAAGGTATATTGTGGAATCACCTCTTCAACATATTATCAGCAAGTTGACAATATAAACTCCACGGATACGGTGGGATCAAAAACAAAATTCTTTAAATGGTTCCAGTGTCACGACCCATTTACTGAAAATAGTTCGCTCATGCCAATCAGCTCAGCAGTTATCCCATATGATAGCATCAACGCGAGATATGTATAAAGCATAATGGAAAGGCACAGCTTGCAAGAAAATCGTAAATATGCAAGCCTATAATGACCATAAACTGTGCAGAATAAAAGGAAGTGGTGACATTAATCGCGAGCTGTGATGGCAACAGCAAAGTTTAAAGAAGAATTTGCCCCCTCAGTCAACACGTAATATTCCACATTAAATCCAAGCCTCAATTCGAATCATATTTTGGATTAAAAATAGGTCCGTGCCCACTAGCGCAGTTTGATGAAGAAAGCGTGATGTAGAAGAGTCGAAAATCTAACTATTCATGTAGCCTAAAACTACTCATGCTATTTACTCCAATCAATGTGGATCTCACTGTGTTCTGACGGGTTACAACGCTTGGCGAAGTTGAAGAAGCAGGTTGGCCCTATACATGGTTGGGAGCAGAAAATATCCAAATCAAAGGGGGTTGGTCTCTTCTAGAGGACACTTTCAACTAATTTTGACTTTGATTCTAACAAAAGGGGCTGCTCATCCACCAATCCTTTAGAGCTCATTTAAAATTGTACTTAATTCAGAGAGATAGGTATGGAAAATTAACGTCAATGGGTTAACTCCCATCACTACGGCTAATCCACCGGTTTGACAAGAACTTCTCAACTCCGTCTACCTATCTCGACCATCGTGTACATGTTAAAAAGGTTTACATTTTCTCCCTCCATATGAAATGCAGGGATATAATGCACTACTGTCTGTCACCGAATGTCACCATTTGTGGCAAGACAAATAAGAGCAAAGAATGAATCCTTATTCTTAAGATTCCAATGATGAGAAGTATAAAAGTTATATGGTAAAATCTACGAAAAATTCCAATCGTTTTTTTAATAGGCTAAATACATAGTAAAACTATGTACATCCGTCCCATTATCATCTTTCGTTTATTAAGCTAAAAAATAACATTTTTGCTATATTTAATAAAATCTTTCTCGTTGTAATATCTTATTATATATTAGAATCGCTTAACATCATTCCGGAGTGTCCAGAGATGGGATCGTATAAGTGGGAGCTTAGGACGAATCCTAGAATTTTTGTAACCCCCTCAACGATATTAGATTTAAAATTGCATAGGGGGTCTTGTTACCCTTCCCTTCACACATTCTTGGATAAACCTCTGGATGATAACCATGAATTAAACCGCTTTCTAGTCATTCATAATCATAATTCTACGCAAAATTTTGTGTTTTCCAAACTAACTACAGGCGCATTTTTGTATAGCATGCGTCATTTAGGAGTTGTAAGACGAAAACTGGTCAAAAAATCAACCTTTTGGCCGTGTTGATGAAAATATCCCACCTTTGAAAAGCTACAGCGGCTAAACGGCTAGCTTGATTTTGACGTATTTAACATCAACCGACGCGGAATTTAACGCACTAAAAGACACCTTTGAACGACATTTTCCTTAGGATTTGTTATTTAGGAGTTATAAGCGAAAAACTGAAAAAAGTGCAAAATTTTCATAGTTTTTCGACTCCAAAAACTTAAGCAGACGTCAGAATCCGTCGCAAACACACAGGAGTCTTATTTGGGACCCCCAAAAGGTATTAAAAATTAAAACACTTTCCAGCTTTAGACGATTTTTTGGGGAGCATATGTCTAATTTGCCTGGGCTATTATTATTATGACTAAGTTTGCTTTAACTGAGTATGATTAACTAGGGCCTAATTACAGTAGAACTCTTCATACCACCACGGGTCCTAACCCCAGGTCGGATAATGATTTGTCCAGATAAACTAACCTATTATAAAATTGATAATTTATCCCTAATACTATTATGTAATGATAAATGTAGTAGTTGTTGTTAGTAAAGTAGTGTTCAAGTCTTCCTTCGGAGACAATATTCTGTACGATATTTTCATCGCTAAGACACTTGTTTTCCAAACCATCTTCACCACTCCTGTTTAGTTTAAAGGTTCTTATAGTTATAAAGTTTCTGTGTAGTTATAAAGTTTGAGTTGCAGAGACTAGTGAGTGCAACTACGTGTCAGTAGGCCGCGGGAAATACCTTTTAACTTTCACCACTGACTTCAGAGAAGAGGCAGAAAAAAGCAGGGACCCGTAAAAGTACATTCAACACAAGCAAACTTGTTTACATCATAAGACTAGACTAAACACTTATTCGTATTATTGTTCACCATTACTGATTTACTCATTTCAGATGGATCTGTGCATGATTTTCAATGTTTTAAGTTGTTTTGAGTTGCAGTAATTTACAATTTAACAGTAAACTGTACAATTAAACAATGGAAATTATTATTTTTTTTTTTTGTAAATTTAACACAAAATAATAGCCTACTATTGAACAGTAAAAATTATTTTTTCAAAGAAAGAGTTCTTGGCTTAGGAATACATTGGAGAAGAAGGAATGTATACAACATTCTACCGAGAAAAAACTTCCAGACAGTTGATAGCAAACAACAAGTTCACAGACACAATTACTTTGTTCGCCCTTATAAGGCTTCTTTAGAAGAAAGTAGTATAATGGTATGGTTGTACCGATTTTGTTGTAAAAGGCAACAAATCAATACAAGTTAACGCGAAGAACAGTCAGCTGGTTTCAACAATAGATCAGTATAGACCAGAATGCACCACGCACCAAAGAAGGAGAGGGGATAAGGTCTAGCCGGATGGTCACTTGTTTCCAGCAGTACTCAGTTCCTATCCAAATCTCATCGTAGCTAGTTCGGTAAAATTGTTTTTCGTTCGTGGAAATTAAATTCATTTCGCGGCGTTTGGTCGGGCAATCTTATTTTTCCTTAAAATCGTACAGCCTATATCCCTAAGGGATATAATTGCCCCGCGATTGGAAATTAGTATCAGTGTCATTGTTAGAAAGTGAAAAAGTTCGTTACCGGCCAACGCAGTTCCGCCATTTGAAAATTACACGTTCGTTTCACGAGTTCAATTGATCGCGTCTTGTAGAATACCGGCTAGTTACATTTCCCAATCCCTTCCCCTTTATTTGTGTCATATTTGTGGACGTCCAAACTGTAAGTAATTTGTGTTATTTATTTGTTAATTTAAGATTTCAGTGAGTCGCACCTTTGAAAATTTTTCCTGTCTTGTTTT